TCGTTATATCAATAGATGCAGAAAATAATTTGACAAGCTACAACATCTAGTCCTGACACAGCCCTCCAAAAACAAATCTCAACAAACTAGAAATGGAGGGAAACTCTTCATCTGATGAAAGGTGTTTATGAAATACCTACAACTGACATCATATTTAATGATGGACTGAATTCTTCTCCCCTGAGATCAGGAACAAGATAGGATGTCATTCAACACAATTAAATTCCCATTAGTTTTTTTTTTTTTGTAGAAACTGACAAGCTAATTCTAAAATTCATATGAAAATGCAAAGAACCTAGAATAGCTAAAATTGCCAAAAAGAATAGAGTTGGCTGGCAGGGCATGGTGGCTCATGCCTATAATCCTAGCATTTTGGGTGGCCTAGGTGAGAGAATTGCCTGAGCCCACGGGTTCGAGACTAGCCTAGGCAACTTGGTGAGACCTCATCTCTACAATAAACAAAAAATTCAGCCGGGCATGGTGGCATATGCCTATAGTTCCAGGTACTTGGAAGGCTAAGGCAGAAGGATCAACTGACCCCAGCAGGTCGAGGCTATGGTGGCGGTGAGCATGCCACTGCACTCCAGCCTGGGTGATAGAGACTCCGGCTCAAAAAAAAAAAAAAAAGAATGGAGTTGGAGGGCTAACATTACCTGATTCAAAAATTATAAAGCTACATAATCAAAACCATGATAATTGATATAAAGATACAAAAATAGATCAATGTAACAATTTAATCCAGAAATAAAGTCACATATATGACCAACTGAATGACAGAGATGACAGTTAACACAATAGAAAAACTGGAGCATTTGGATAACCATATGTAAAAAAATTGAACTTGGATCCATAAATCACTTCCTATACAAAATTTAGCTCTAAATGGATTACAGAGGTAATGCAAAACATTTATAAAATGTCTAGAAGAAAACATTGGAGAAAATTGTGACCTTCAGTTAGATAAAGACTTTTTAAATATAGCATCAGAAGCATAATTCAAAAAGGAAAAAAAGTTGACTACCAATATTTAAAACTTTTGCTCTTCAGAAGTCACTGTTAAGAGAATTTTAAAAAGAAGGCACAGATTTGGAGTATATCTTTGATAAAGCTTTTATATTTGTAAATAGAACTACCAAAATTCAACAATAAGAAAACATATGAACCAATTTTTTTAATAGACAAAAGGTTTGAACAGACACTTTACCCCCCAAAAATAGATAACAAACACATGAAAAGATGCATAATTAGTCATTAAGGGAAATGCAAATTAAAACCACAATAAGATATTTCACACCTGTTAGAATGTAAAAGGTTGAACATACAGAAGGTTAGCAAGCATGTAGAAGAAATATGATTGACGCACTTCTCATGGGAATGTAGGATAGTACAATCACTTTGGAAAACAGTTTGACAGTTTCTTTAAAAATTAAATGTACATCTATCATATGATCCAGCCATTCCATTCCTAGGTGATTCCAGAGAAAAGGAAATATATGTCCATATAAACACTTGTACATGAATGCTCTTAACCACAAACTAGAAACTCAAATGTCAATTAGCATATGAAAAGATACACTGTTGTGTATCTATACAATAAGTACTATTCAGAAGTAAAAAGGAATAAATTGATATTCTTAATATAGATAAATCTCAAAATAATTCTGCTAAGTGAAAGAGGCCAGACAAGGTAGAATATATACTGTGTGATTTTTGCAAACTAATCTATAATAATAGAAAGTAGATCAGTGGTTGCTTAGGGATGAGAGGATGGGAAGGGTGAGAATAAGGATTTACAAAAGGTCAGGAAGTAATTTAGTGGTGTCTGGGCATGGTGGCTCATGCCTGTAATCCCAGCACTTTGGGAGGCAGAGGCAAGAGGATTATTTGAGCCCAGGGGTTCCAGACCAGCCTAGGCAACTTGGCCAGACCTCCTCTCTACAATAAATCAAAAAATTATCTGGGTAAAGTTCCAGCTACCTGGAAGGCCGAGGAGTAGGATCACCTGAGTCCAGTAGATTGATGCTATGGTTGAACAGTTCATGTGATTGTGCCACTGCACTCTAGCCTGGGCACATGAGTGAGTCTGCAACTCAAGGGAAAAAAAAAAAACTTGGTGATTAACATGATGGTTTCACATTAATAATGTCAGTTAATATGACAGATGTATGAATATGTCAAAGCTTAGCAAATTGTACCCTTTCAATATCTGTAGTTTACTGTGTGTCATTTTTACCTTAATAAAGCTGTATGCAGGAAACAATTTTAACCTAAATGCTGAAAAAAAGGGGGGAGGGATCCTGAGCATTAAAGAACAATCAACCTGGCCACTAATAAAACATGGCTAGTGAATCTCAGATTCTGATCAATCATATTAGCAGCACCTCCCTTAGCCAATAATCAGAACTGAATTAGAGAGAGGGGCAGAAGCACAACTGAAAGCTCTTTTCTATGAGCAGAGATAGAATGAAAAGAGAGACACAGGAATGCCTCCTCTCCAACAAATAATCAGTTCCTAAGCTATATGTTTCTTAGGAACTGAGAGGACTATATTGCTCTTAGCATTTTTTTTTTTTCTGAGTTGGAGTCTCACTCTGTCGCCCAGACTGGAATGCAGTGGCTGCTTCCAACCACCGCAGCCTCGCCTGCTGGACTCTGACGATCCTTCCACCTCAGCCTTCCGAGTAGCCGGAATTACAGGCATGTGCTACCATGCCCGGCTGGTTTTTTGATTTATTGTAGAGATGAGGTCTCGCTGCCCAGGCGGGTCTCTAACCCGCAGGCTCAGGCAATCCACTCACCTCAGCCTCCCAAAGGCGTGGGATTACAGGCTGAGCCACCGAGCCCAGCTGCTCTTAGCATTTTTAATCATTTACAAATGTAATTATCTTTGTAAAAATTACATCCTCAAGCCACACACACACCAAGAAGTCCTGATTTAGTAAATTTTGTGTGGCCTCTATATTTTTTAATTCATTTTCAATGTGGTAAAATATACAAAATGTAAAAATTACCATTTTAGCTATGTTTAAATGTATAGTTCAGTGGCATTAAGTACATTTATTGTGCAACCATCTTCACCATCCATCTTCAGACTTTTTTCATCTTGCAAAACTGAAACTCTATCCATTGCACACTAAGTCTCCATTTCCCTTCCACTCAGCTCCTGACAAATACCATTCTACTTTCTGTCTCTCTGCATTTGACTACTCTACCTCATAAGAGTGGAATCATACTAGGTTTATTTACTTGGCATAATGTCTTCAAGATTCATGTTTTAGCATGTGTCAGGATATTTTTTTTTTTTAAGGCTGAAAAAACATTCCATTGTATGTATAGACTCTATTTTGTTTATCCATTCATCCACCAATGGACACTTGGATTGCTTCCACCTTTTGCCTGCTGTAAACATGTATGTACAAGTTTCTGTTTGTGTTCCTGCTTTTTATTCCTTTGAGTATATACTCATAAATGGAACTGCTGAGCCTTATGGTCACTCTTTTTAAATGTCTGAAGAGCTGCCATACTGTTTTCCATAGCAACTTTACATTTTCATTAATAACCCACAAAGTTTCAGTTTCTCCATATCCTGATCAATACTTGTTATTTTATGTTTTGTTTAGTTTTTTATAGTAGCTAATGAATGTGAAGTGGTATCTCATTGTTATTTGGATTTCCCTAATTAGTGATTTTGATCATACTTCCATGTGCTTATTGGTCATTTGTATATCTTTTTTTGGTAGAAATGTCTATTCAAGTCTTTTGTCCACTTGTTTAATGAGAATTTTGTTGTTGTTGAGTTTTAGGGGTTCTTTATATATTCTGAATATTAATCCCTTATCAGATATGATTTACATATATTTTATGCCATTCTGTGGGCTGCCCATTTACTTTGTTGATGGTATCCTTTGGTGCACAAAAGTTTTTAAGTTTGTGCAGTCCATTTTGTCTATGTTTTATTTTGCTTCTTGTGCTTTTGGTGTCATATTTAAGAAATCATCACCTAAATCAATGTCATGGTGCTTTCCCCTACGTTTTCTTCTAAGAGTTTGATAGTTTTAGTTCTTATGTTTAGATCTTTGATCTCTCTCTCTCTTTTTAAAGTACGTCATATGTAATTATGATGCATATTGCTGTTTTTTTTTTAAATGCTGCTTTACCCATACTGTATTGCAACAGTTTAAAATCCTGTGGCTTGCCTTTGGGAGGCTGAGGTGAGTGGATTGCCTGAGCCCGTGGGGTTTGAGACCCGCCTGGGCAACTTGGCGAGACCTCATCTCTACAATAAATTTTTAAAAATGAGCCAGGCCTGGTAGTGCACAGCTTTAGTTCCAGCTACTTGAAAGGCTGAGGCGGAAAGATCACCGGAGCCCAGCAGGTCGAGGCTGCGGTGGCCGGGAGCGGCCACTGCACTCCAGTCTGAGCGACAGAGTGAGACTCCCAACTCAAAAAAAAAAAAAAGAAAGAAATCCTGTGGCTAAAAAGTAAGGTATTAGCTGGAACAGGGTTGCATCCAAGATCCAGAAACTAGAGTATTTGAGAAAGATGTGGTGCCAGAATCTTTATTAGCTCCAAAGTTAAGATTATTTCATTCTAGTCCAAACTAATCAGTTAAGTTCTCCTTAATTTGCTGAGTAGCTAAAAGAATACAGTCCTTTGGCTGATTTTGTCTCTTGTTTTCTGAAACCAGAAGCAGTTATAATGGCTAAGTATGGGAGTGGGAATGAGAAAGGAAGTAAGATAGTCCTTTCAGATAAGAGTTCTGAACAAAGGGGTTGGCCTTATTACATTTCTTCCAGGCCAGTGTCTTTATCAAACCATTTGTAATTTTCACTGTGATAATCTTATCTCTTCTTTCATAATACTACACTGCATACCATAAGATTCAGTTGGTAAAATAAGAGACTGCTAAGCATTCAGGAACCTCTGCTAAGTGGCTGGGTAAAGCATACTTTGATATATATGCCCTTCCAGTGACAAGTTTTTCTATCTTATGTTCCCAGGGCTCTCAGATGTCAGATGTGGCCAGCAGGGAGCTCCATGCCCAAGCTCAAGAACAACTGCAGCACTACTTTATGGGCAGGGCCCTAGAAGGGAGAGCCCAGCAGCACAGAGAGGCCCTGATGGCTCAGATCAGCACCAATATTGAACAGTTAATGAGTATGTGCTCGTTTCACTTTTGTTTCCTAAAAGGAACAACCTATGCAAGATATGTGACCTCAAAAATCTTAAGAAGGAAAGCACTATTAAGAGTCTTTTAGCCCATCTCCTATCCCTAGGAAATTTCTAAATAGATCAGACCAGCATACAATGTTTTCAAATGATGCAAGTTTTATAACCTCCTGTCGTGCTTCTGTCAGCCTTGCCATCATTCATATGTATCAACTCAAAGTTATTAATTTTAAAGATGCTGAGCCCTTCTAGCCATTTCTTCTATGTAATCTGAAAAACTTTTGTTCATTTTTTAGAAGTAGATGATAATAGTTACAGTGCCATTCACTTGTAGAGCATTGTATAATTTTTAATGAAGTACTGTCACAAAAATTAACTCACCTGTGTCTCATAACCACTGGTCCATTTAATGAGTGATCCCATCCATGAAACCACAGCGTTTCAGTCAACTTCTGGGAGTGTGTGTGTGTGTTTGTGTATGTGTGGACAGAAAGGACCAGGATTCTCTATTTAATGGCCATTACTTGTAAATTTTGTATTTTTGAATTAGATAAGTGACTGAAACTATGTCTCTCACCTGTAGGATGAGAGTCTACTATTATTTTTAAAGTTCCTGTTCTTTTTTTTTTTTTTTTCTTTTGAGTCGTAGTCTCACTCTGTTGCCCAGGCTGGAGTGCAGTGGCTTGCTCACAGCCACTGCAGCCTCAACCTGCTGGGCTCAGGAGATTGTCTGCCTCAGCCTTCCAAGTAGCTGGAATTATAGGCATGTACCACCACACCTTGCTAATTTTTTGGTTTCTTTTGGAGATGAGGTCTTGCCAAGTTGCCCAGGCTGGTCTCGAACCCCTGGGCTCAGGCAATCCTCTTGCCTCCATCTCCCAAAGTGCTGAGATTACAGGTGTGAGCCACCATACCCGGCAGTTCCTATTCTTCAAATAAATCATCTATGCAGGTGCAGTGGCTCACACCTGTAATCTCATCACTTTGGGAAGCCAAGATGGGAGGTCTCTTGAGCCCAGAAGTTCAAGACCAGCAAGACCTCATCTCTACAAAAAAAATCAAAACTTTAGCTGGGCGTGGTAGCTCACTCCTATAGTTCCAGCTACTTGAGAAGCTGAAGCAAAAGGATCACCTGAGTCTAGGAGGTGGAGGCCGCAGTGAGCCACAGTCATGCCACTGCACTCCAGCCTGGGCAACAGAGTGAGACTGCAACTCAAAAAAAGAAAAGAAAAGAAAAGGAAGAAAGGAAGGCAGAAGTGGCCAAGCGATGGGGGGGGGGGGAGGGAGGGGGGGTTGTTACAACCACAGCTGCAAGTTTTGATTGGTAACAAACCATCCACAGCTAGCAATGATAATAGACTCAGTGTTGGAATCCTGCCTTTACCTGCTATAGCATAGTTACAGCTCTAGTTTCCAAGGTCCTACTTGTTTGGCATAGGTCTCTTCCACTTAACTTGTTTGTTTTCTGTTTATGACAGAGGCACCAAGTCTGAAAGAGGCAAAAAGGAAAGAACCTGAGCTATTCTTAAGTAGATCCAGGCCTGTGGCAGCCAAGGCCAAACAGGCCCATCTCACTACCCTGAAGCACATACAAGCACCCTGGTGGAAGAAGCTTGGGGAAGAACGAGATGATCCAAAAGATGAGCTTAATGTAGAATTGGAAACTTTATTCTTTGGTGGAACCAAACCCTCATAGGAAGAGAACTGACACAAATCTTGTATTTTAGGAGAGTATATTGTCTGTGCCTCTGGCATGCTGGTAGACTAGAGCTATCCTAACTCATGATTTTCCAGAGGTTCTCTCCAAACAAGACTTGCAGTAAGCAAAGAGTTATCTTCTATCTCTCTCTCAATTCTCTTTTTCTTTTCTCCACACTCCCATTCCTGGCTACACATAGGAATATGTGGCTTTTATTGTGAAACTAAATTCGGCATGACATTCTGTTGTTTACATAAAATGTGAGTTTTCTTTTGTTTCTGTTGTTTCCCAGCTAAAGGTATTTCTAAATAAATATTTTGAACCATTGATTTGAAAAACTTGTCAGGATTATGTAAGCATTTCACATTTGTTATCTAGAATTTCTGTTTTTATATTAATATAGGAGGCGTGTTCCTGGCCTTTATTAACATGAATAAAAGAAATGGTCAACCAAAGAACATTTCACTGTTTTCTATAAAGCAGTGGTTGAACTCATTTTCTATTTTGGTATATCTGAAAGAAACTACACACACAAATCTAACTAGGATTCAATACAAGAAAAATTTACCCAGATAAAATTGCATTCTATTAAACTATGAGAACTATGTATCTCACTGCTTCCTTTTTTGCCTTTTCTCCTAGAAATCTCAGTGTGAAATACAATATTTAATTTCTGTTATGATCCTACCTGATTATTTGGTTCCAATCTAATAACTTCTGATTTTCCCATTTACTTTTAATTTTGTTTTAATACTAGAAGTCACCTCAATTTGTGTTTGTAACAATATGAAATTTAAGTTACAATCAGTTAACAAATCATGACTTCATACAATAAGGAACCTGGAGGGTGCTCTTTGTATACATGAATTAAAATACCAATATTTCTAGATGGGAAGAGTAAGTAATATAATGCTGTACAGTCTCCCAAAGTTCATTTTAGTAAAATTCTAGTCGAAATCCCAATATAATTTTCATTTATAATTGGAAAAGAAATATACAAAATTCACCTGTAAGAATAAGCAGATGAGAATTTGGTTTCACTTAGAATGCAGAAAGTCACATGAGAGTGTTGCTCTCACCTTAGCAAAAACCAAAATTAACAGCAGTAATTTTTCTTCGGCCCATCAGATAGTTAAGGTCTCAAGCCAAACATATAAACTGAGATGGGACTCAGTATTTGTAAAATGAGGTATTTCACTTTTAGTAGAGCATAGGAGAAAGAGGTGGCTAGGTTAGGAGAAATCAACCAAAATTTTAACAAATTCTTAAAGGTCAAATGTATGTTAGCATGTCCGTTTAGAATATCTCAGAGCCCCCAGACAGAAGAAGAATATAGACCTCTCCCAAATTCTCATAAGAAAGGCCAGAAGCAAGGCAGGAGGACTGAAGAGACCCCTTAAGTGACAGGTGCAAATGTGAAGTGATAAGGCTGCTACTGGGTGTCATGCCTAAAGTCCCACCCACTTCTGCAAGCCTTTATTTTAAAAGTCATAAGCTACTGTAGCAGGGGCAGTAGACTCTCTTACCTCCAAGGCTCAGACAAAATCCCACTGCATGTAAGGAAGGAATGAGGGAAGGATAGGGAACACTAGTCCTAGACACAACCAAAGATCCAGTGTTGCTGAAGGAAGGATAGAAACAAAAACCCTTCCCTCCTGTGGGAGGGACAGTAAATCATATTGAGCCCCAAAATCCTGTCAAGACAAAGTAGAAGGCTAATGCTGGGGAGGACACTCATACCCAAGACCAACCGCAAATACAAGGCAGTTTGACTGTCATGGGGTATAGGAATAGGAGCCCTGAGAAAAAAACCCGGCCCCAAACATAGGTGGAAGAGACTGGCCTTAGACCAGGATAACAGAACACCCCGACCTAAACAACAATCCAGCACCACACAATCCCATTACCACTGGAATAGGGGAAGTGCATAGAGACTTTCTCTGTGACAAAGGCATACAAAGATGACTGAAAGTGGAGAGTGGGACAAGAACATAGAAAACCAACCTTCCCAGACTTCACCCTAAGCACAAGATAACAATAGCTAGAACATAAATTTGAAGCCTATAGTGTACAAAAGATCGAAGGAAAATCCAAACTCAGTTAAACTGAATAATTTGGTTCAACCCTCCTACAATACAAATCTGATACTATCCATGTAGCATTAATGCAGATGCCACAAATTAAGAGCACAGTCCCCAACAAAAGTGTTCTCACTTCAGATGCTAGTCACAAGTTTGGGATCCCTACACTTCTGACCAACTGGCTTCAGATTTGGGAGTTTCCAAAACCCCATAAAGTTTGGTAATTCTACTAAAGAAATTCACAGAACTCAGGAAATCCCTATACTAATGATAACCATTTTATTATGAAGGCTGCAAATTGGTACCATCCACTTAAAGAACACTTAGAACAAAGTCTGGAAAGGTCCTGAATGTAGAGTTCTGTGCTCTCTCACTGTGGAATCAGGGCACATCACCCTCCTGGCACACCAACCAGGAAGTTCAAATGATACTCAGAGTATTTTATTATATAGGTATCATTGATGGAATCTGATCATGTGATTGAACTAAGACCTCCAGTCCCCACTCCCCATGGAGATCAGGCTGATAACACATGACTCAAAACCCCAACTCTGCAATCACATGAATAGTCTTTTTGTTATGATGACTCAGTCTCCATCCTGAGTTTTCTTAGCATGAACTCAGGCATGATCCAAAGACCCATCATGAAGAGCAAAGAAACTCCTACCACTTAGGAAATTTCAAAAGTCTAAGAGCCCTTTACTGGAAAACTGGGATAAAAGTCAAGCAAATTATACAATACCTCCAAACTGTAAGATATAAAGAAATGTGCCTATATTGACATAAGTAGTATCTACCTTTCTCTGTACTTCTAGAATGATGTCTGAGATTCATTTTGAGACACAAAAGTGCTAGGAAATAACCTTTTGTCAAGAAATAGAACTACCAATAATTCAGGAATCCCACTGCTGTGTATATAACCAAAAGAAATCAGCTGGGCATGATGGCTCTTGCCCATAATCCTAGCACTTTGGGAGGCCAAGGCAGGAGGATTGCTTGAGCCCAGGAGTTTGAGGCCAGTCTAGGCAACATAGCAAGACCTCATCTCTACAAAACAAAAAATTAACTAGGCGTGGTGTGGTAGTCCCAGCTACTTAGGAGGCTGAGGTAGGAGGATCACTTGAGCCCAGGAGCTTGAGGCCGCAGTGAGGTGTGATCATGCCACTGCACTCCAGCCTGGACAACAGAGAGACTCAAAACCAAACAAATCAGTATATTGAAGAGATATCTGTACTCCCATGTTTATTGCAGAACTGTTCACAATAGCCAATATATGAAAAAATCCAGCTGTCCATCAATGAATGAATGGATAAAAAATGTGCTATGTATACATACTGTAATATTAAGCCACAAAAAGAATGAAATCCTGCCATTTTCAACAACATGGATGGAACTGGAGGACATTATGTTAAGTGAAATAAGTCAGGCACAGAAAGACAAATGTTGCATGTTATCACTTATTTTTAAAATTGAACTCATGGAGATAGACAGTAGAATCATGGTCAACAGAGGCTTGGAAGGGTAGTGAGGAGGGAGAGGGTAAAAAAGATAAGGCTTGGTGTAGTTCCAGCTACTTGGAAGGCTGAGGTGGTAAAATCACCTTAGTCCAGCAGGTTCAGACTGTGGTGGCTGTGGCATACCACTACACTCCAGCCTGGGCAACAGAGTGAGACTCCAACTCAAAACAACAACAACAAAAAAGAGAAGGCTAATGGGTACAAAAATACAATTAGGTAGAAGGAATAAGGTCTAGTGTTCAGTAGCACCATAGGACAACTATAGCTAACGATAATTTACTGTATATTTCAAAACAACTAGAAGAGTGGAATTGTAATGTTCCCAACACAAAGAAATAATAAATACCTGAAGTGATATACCCCAATTATCCTAATTTGATCATAATACATTGTATGCTTGTATCAAAATATCATATGCACTCCATAAATATGTACTAGTATGTATTTATAATAAAATTTTTTTTAAATGACACAGCCTGATAATGGGGCAAAAGAGGTATGACAGGATTCAGAGAGAGTAGACAAAGGGGACAATCAACTTTCTGTAAGTACAGGGACCAGAAAATAGGAACGTCAATAGTGGTTTGGTGGAGAAACAACAAATTTAGACTGGGAAAAAGCCTGCAGAGCTACCAAGAGTTTGATCAACAAAAGATATGCAGAGTTGGAAATTCAATGGTTGAAAAAATTTTGTGATAATTAATAGCATTTAAATAGCTCTAAAGATAACAAAAATATATCTTCTTATTTGGAATGCCAAATTCTAGTTAACACAACCCAATATCAAATAACCTCTTTGTGGTTTACTGACTTGGAGTCGATTTGTTTTGGAAAATATAGTGGTTTTCCATAAAAAATGCTTTTTATGTTAACATGTAATTACTTTTTGATCAGTTGGTATATATTTTAACATTTCTCCATTTTAATTCTAATATGGTAAATAATGAGATATAAATAGCGGTGTGTTGTAGTCCTCTCATACTGTTTTTTTGTTTGTTTGTTTTTTACCAAAGTCGATTTCTAAATTTTTCAGAAATATTGCAAAGTAGTTGTTTATTTAAAGTAACATATAGAAAGGAGCATGAACTTGGGAACTGGGCATAACCAGATTCAAACAGGTACCAGACCCTTCTGGCGATTTGGACAGGTCACTACCCATCTCTCTTTAATCTTTAAATTTTTTTTTTTTTTTTGTAGTCAAGTTCTCACTGTCACCCAGGCTGGAGTACAGTGGAACACTCACAGCTCACTGCAGCCTGGGCTCTTAGGCTCAAGTGATCCTTCAGCCTCAGCCTCTTAGCTAGCTGGGACTACAGGCACGCACCACCATGCCTGGCTAATTTTGTAAATTTTTTGTATAGATGAAGTCTCCCTGTGTTGCCTAGGCTGGTCTCAAACTCCTGGACTGAAGCAATCTTCTGCCTTGGCCTCTCAAAGTACTGGGATTACAGAAGTGAACCACCATGCCCAGCCTTTATTGTCCCTCTCTGAACCTGTTTCCTCATCAGCAAAAATGGGGAACACTTGATATGATGTGATAAGAATGGCACTTTACTTGTGTGGTCTTCCTTCCAAAACCCATTGCTCTTGTCTAATCA